TGCTCGGTTTGGACTACGAGGACACTCGTAGAGGGATGTTCGCTGTCTATCAGCGAACGGGATCTGGTGAGAAGACGTACAGCCGGGCCTCTTTTATACCCGGCTGGCAGCCGAATGGTTTCGAATCGGCAAGCATCGGCGGTTTCGGCGGCGAGTCCCCCACAAAACGGAATTTCGGAACGGTCGGGTGTGGCGGATTTTCGGCGGTTGACCGCCGTTGTTTCGATAAGAAATTTATCGGCGCTCGATGCGCCCTTGGTGGGCTACGGACGATGGACGGTCCGTAGCCGTAACGATGCAGCTTGCGGGCTGCACCGTTACAAAGTAAAACAGTTTTTGGCGTTTCAATTTAAAATACTCTTTAAAATTCGGAAAAGTGTTTTATTCGAAAACACCTTTATATATTTCCAAATAAAACACTTTTCAAAATTAAACGCTTTTTAGCATGTAAATAAAATAATAAAAATCAACATATATTTGATGAAACTAATAAAATTTCCTTTTATTTTATAAACGTAGCTTATGTGAACGACGCATTTTATTACAAAAATAACATTACAAAATGTAATATTTCATTATTATTATATAGCGTATATAAATGGTATATATTATATTAAACTATTATGATTATTGCAAATTCTCATGTAAAATCGGACAATTGGAAAGCATAATTAATATTTTTCTGTTTTTTTTTATATTTTAATTCTCAGCTAATATTATTACTTGCCACTTGTAAAAAATCATTATCATATCTTTTGTAAAATTTACATTTTAAAATTTTTCATATATATTACTTTCCAATATTACATTTTATGTATATACAAACACCACATTTTAAATATATCAAAAAATTTAACGTGACAAAATGGATCTTGATATTCGTTGACAAATATAAATAAATTCTATATCATATATACAACTGTTAAGTATTTTGTATAACATAAATGCCAATTTTATCTTTTACCGAGCAATCGGTATATCTACATGACGATATTATATTCTAATTGATATTTCATTGTATTTCTCTCCTTGGAAATAATGCATTTGTGATGTGTATAAAATTATAGTTTACGATATACACGCCCGTAGTTGTGACGGAAGAAGAGAGAAGAAAAACCATGATATTCTCAACATGCTGAGAGATTATTGCATTTTGTCCATGCGTTAATTAACGGTCATGTTATAAAGTCTTGCCTGCTAGAGCAGCGGCTTTAGAGAGCACAATTTGTATGTCCATTGATGGAAAATTCTGTATATAAAATATGTTATTATTAATACACGTTATTGTTATATAATAAATATTAATACATACGTATTAATACATAGGTATTAATACATACATATAATGAAACAATTCTATCTCTCACCTGTAAGAGTTTAACATTGGTAGCAAAATCGCCGGCCAATAATTGGTCCCGCAATAATCTAGAAATGTAAATACATGTGCTGGGAAAATAACAAAGAGTACTTTTTTATGCATAATAAGATTTTTTTACTTACAGGATCATGGCACAGCAGATATGTATAAGAAAACTAAATCTGTTCTCATCAGCAAACAACGAGTCCCATATTCTCATAACATCCGGTAAAGGAAACTCTTGCGAAAGAAGAAGCGTCAACCACCTTATTCCAAAGTGAACAATAATAATGATGATTACAATAAAAAAAAAGCGAATTCCTAATATGATGATAATAATATGCTACAAATTTTAACCAATTTCTTGCACTTTTGTTATAAAGAGTCGTTCTTTAATAAATCGAGTGCGCTGAACATAAATCTGACCTCAAAAACTGTCTATTTCTCTTTCACGTCACGTTTTTGAGAAAATAGGAGTTTAAACCCTAAAAAACGTGTTTTTTGTCATATTCGTAAATTTAAACCATTTGGGTCAGCAATTTCGAAAAGGTCTAAAATTGAAGGTTGAACCTTTGTTTTTATTTTAAAAAGTCGGAAACTTAAAATATACAACTTTATGGAAGTCATTCTCTTAGGGGAATAAAGCACTGTTAAAAATGTATACAAGGGTGTATGTACGGCATGGATGGATTTGGTTTTTTTCTACAATCTTTCTTATTTCAGAAGTTTGTTCCTAACAGAAATGTACCCAAAAATTTGTTGGGTGTAAGATAATTTTGCTATTTTGTTGTACAAATTTGACAGTACTTTATCCCCCTGCGAGGATGACTTCCACAAAGTTGCACTTAAATTTCCGACTTTTTAAAATAAAGACAAAGGTTCAAGCTTCAATTTCAAACATTGTCAAAGTTGCTGGTCCGTCTGGTTCAAATATGGCCAAAAACACGTTTTTTTGAGGATTTAAAGTCTTATTTTCTCGAAAACCTAATGTGATGAACAGTTTTTGAGGTCAGATTCGTAGTTAGCTCACCCGATTTACTAAACTAAAGAACGAACCTTCATGACAAAAGTGCAAAATCTTATAATATAGTGTAATTGTCGATATGTATAATACCTAAAGCTGTAGTACTGTGGACACAGTTCTTGCTGGTGCAGACGCAACCAAATTTCGGGATCATTGACTCTAACTTGATTGGTCAATTTACTCATCATTGAATTAATTCCAAATTCAGCTTCATCCAGTGTCTTTATAAAGAAATCACGTATTTCACCCATTAAGTTTGTAAAACAAAAAAACGTGTCTGCTTCAGCGTATTCTGTAAAAAATATTACGCCGCTATCGTAAATATTCATCTACATATACCATATAGTTGCTTTCATGTAATACATACTTCTCCATGTGGGATCAGGATCGCAAGCAAATGCGTGATATATAGGCCCAACTATCTCATTCATACCCTGTACGTAACCTTGGCCAGGATTTAATTTAGCGTATAAAAAAAGTATTCGCTCTAACACTTCCCAATGTGCTTCACCGCCTTCAGCCAATGGCGCGTAGTCTTCTGCCGCCTTTCTCACAGAGACTGCTATCTAATAGATAAAGCATAATGTAATCCGACCATATCTAGAAGACGTCATGAATGTATAGTCTCATAATCTGTTTTACAACACATGTAAGATATAAAAAAAAGACATTTTAGAAAACACTAGCAGAACATATTACTCCATTCGCATCGTTTGTAATACCTGCTGCTTTCCCCGTCAATGCAAGAGCAAAGATAAATAGAATCTATTAATAAATTTAATAAAAAGTTAGTGATGGAAGCTTTAATTGTTTGCAATCTATTACCTTGGTCACTCCTAATCCCTTTCGTTCAACATTTGCACTTTTCAGCACGGTGTGTTGAACTCTGTTATGCAAACGCTGCTGACCATTGGCATTCACTATCTTTTGACATGGATAATCAGTGCCTTGTTGAAAAAATGATATGTCTGGACATAGTCGCCTGCGTAATGAAAACTTATTATTTACTTTTTACTTAATGTCTTTTTTAAAGTTATATAATTTAATATTTACCTAACATCTTTATCAATCTGGAGCAAAACTTCATTATCTTTAAAGTACGTTTGCCATTTACTGTCCGGATTTAAATTAAGAGGATGATCGTGTAATGTTACATCGACTCTTTCTTTGTCATCCGTATTAGATTCTCCAGGCATAACAATGAGATCTTCTATAATAAATAGTTACAAAAATATCATGTATAAATTCTCACATTTAAATTATTTTTCATAACATAAGCAGCATCTCTCAAGCATCATTCTTTTCTCTCACCAATAAATGTATTATACAACTCCCTCTTGCGCTTCAAAGTCTCTATCCAACTAGATCTTGTAGATGGCAAATAGTTAAGCAATAACTTCCAACACAGAGGCCTCAGTCCACCAGGTTCATCAGGTATACCTGTCATAAAAAATTTTATTATCAGCAAAAAATTGATTGACTTAATTATAAGAGAAAAATTAAAGACTTGTAAACGTGATATCAGAACTGTCGTTATAAGTGGACGAAGGATTAATCTTACGTGATAAACATACCATGGAAACATATTTTGCCAAGACTGACTGTATCTATCTCATCCGCATTGAGAACATCGTCGAATTCGCTCAATCTGCAAATATCCGAATATTAACAAACATGAAAATATCGACTTTTCACATAAATTCGAGCATCCTTACCTCTTTCGCAAAATGCTCATTTTCTTCGCGCGTGTAACATGTGACAATGCGGTGATTCGACACAGAGGTTCTACAATCTATCTACCGTCGTCTCTTATCGGCATTCGGTAGGCGTGTGCGGTGACGTGCAGACGGTGTAAGCGCGCGAGCGTACGGACATGAACTGATATTCTTCTTTTCATTATTGACAACGTGCTGTCAGATTAACGCGAGTAATAATCGCCATCAAATCATTTCCCGATATGTACTCCATAAATCGCTGTGCCATCAACCAGCTGTAACACACAGAAACAACCACCGATAGCCACTGATAGTCACTGACTACTGCTGATCACCAACACTCAGGCCGGCGTCACATAGAACCCGTAATCCGTAATCCGCACCGAAAGTCCGCAAAAGTTACTAGGGATTGCGTCCGTAACGTTACGTGTGTTTTATCTCCTTGTGTCCCATGGAGCCGTAATTCCATGAAATTTCCGTAAAAGTTACTAAAAGTTACTAGTTATTACTAGTAATGCTTTTTAATTTTATTTATTTAACTAAATTTGACGATTTAATTAAAATTTTTGTTAAAATTATAATATATTCTGTAGTTTTTTTATGAATAAAATACAAATAAACAATTATAATTTGTTAAATAAAAAATAGTAATACCGTTACGTGTGTATTTACGGCTCCATGGGACACAAGGAGAAAAAACACACGTAGGGCGGTATTCATAGTCCGTTCTTATAATCAAGATCGTCTTAAGCACGAACTTATATTCACTCTCTTCGTCAGACACAATCTATGTGTGACGAAGAGAGCGAATATA